CCTTTACGGCCGATTCATTTCCTTGACGTAGTCGGGAGATACGGCCAGGGACCACGTGACCCGTGAGAGGTTAAGCACGGGGAAATATCGTCGAGATATAATAGGCATTATTAAATGACTGAGCTAATCCGCGATGAAAAGGAAAATTCTATCTGATTGGTCCACTTAGCGGTAAAATTTTTCAACACGGGCCGCTAAGATAAGAAAAAGTATTTTGTTAAGTAGATATCTTTGAACCTTCATGTTTGAGGGACAATTTAGTTAGCGACGGGACAAAATAAATAACTGCTATGTCGCGCGCGTTAGTCAGCACCTTCATACAGGTTTTGACTCATACATACATACATACATACATACTTTATTTGGTCACGCAGGTTAGAGAATCTGGCAGCCATTGGCTGATGTGGACCTACATTACTGATTCACAACATTTACATCTAATAGAAAAATAAAAAGACCAAATATGTACAATGTGTGAGTAATATAGAAATTAGAATTAAAAAGAAAAAAAATTTTCAATAATAATAAAAGTGGTCTGATTTATTTGTAATCAGTGAACTCTCCTTTTCGAAGGTGAAATTGTTTAAAAATTTGGAGAATTGCTTTAAACGATTTTTAAACGAGGTGACATTATCATAGTCTTTAACGCTGTTGGGAATTGAGTTCCAGATCATAGTTCCTCTATGTCGAAGAGAAAGTCTGCCTATTTCCTTTTTGGGTCTGTCCAGTACCAGTTGTTTTGATCGTCGAGAGTTATGCACTGTTGCTTTCACTGAAAACAATTCAGTTATTTGTGCTGGGCCAGCTTGATAAAAGGCTCGGTGGACATGTTTTAGTATAGCTCTTTTGTACATGTACATGTTTCAGTGATGTTAATTTGACTCAACTAACAATTTTATGACGACACCAGAGTCCTTTGAGCAGGAGTAAACGGGTTCTGAGATTTAAAAGCCTGATAGACATTCCACCTTTAATATCATGTTTAAGAAAAGTATGTGGCACAACAAGAACACGCATTTTTTTGACAGGTCGCTTAACCCCAGGTTTTAGTCACCAACGTTTTGCCCGAAAGAAAATTGATTCCGAGGCTTTAAAGACATTACTAACTCGTCAAATTTTAAGATAAGATTTTTTAACGGTGAGACGGACCATTCTAGGAGGTGATATACTTTTCTTGTTCTTGTTGTCAGGAAAGACCGCGAATTTGCTTTCGAATGAAGCAAGGTTGCGTCGTTAAGACTGAGATAAAACAAACTGAAACTTTTATCCACTCCGTTTCCCTGCCGACGCATCGCTCTGATTAAAATCATATTGAAAATTAAGACTACCCGGCCGCGGAACCAAGTTTGTGGAACTATTCTTATGGGCACTGGTTCTAGTGTGAATAAACCAAGTAACGTGCAATGATTTCTTCAGCTGAGAAACATCATGCCATGCCATTGCAAAAGATAGTTTATTTTTGTTTCTCGTGTGGAGTGACAAAGTTAATGGCGTTGTGTTAATTGGTCAGTAACAACGTGCGCTGTGATTGGTCAATTGAGCGGGCGTGGCTGTTGAAATATGAGGCTGCTTTTGCAGCCAAAATATCTCATGATTTATCACCAAGTTTTGTTAACATTCCTGGCAAATAAACCTGTAAAACATAACGTTTTCCTAAAATTTTGGCGTCATGTATTCAAATATGCTCACGACATGGTAACGATTTCCAAATTACTCGTATTTCTTTTGACGTACATCAGTCATTTGGCGCCATTTGTCGTGACTTTAAATGTTTTCTCAAACCCATCAACACTCAGTAGAGATATAATCAATATCTTAATAAGAACCTCTTCTCGATCCGCATTGTAAGTTGCACATCCTAGAGACGACCGTTTTTCCCGTTTCGATTTATGGCACGCCAGCTTCGCGCTTGAACCATAAATCGAAAGGAAA